GGTGAAAATTTCATGTCATTAGCCCCTCTAGTAATATATTTACTGAGAAAAATGATGACGTGTTCAATACTTATTTTACCCGCTGTATTTATTTATTTATTTATTTATTTATTTATTTATTTTGGATGTTTTTATTACCTATCGCTGATATTTGTTTATTGTCTCTTGGCAATACAGATGTTAAATCAACCTATCGCTAAATTGGGTGCAATGTATCAGATGTTAAAGTGGGGAAATGGAGACCTGCAATTCTGTAGTTGGTTTTTGTGGTGATCTAGGGAATATCTCAAAACTACTTAATACTGTAATTACAAATTTTTTATTGGATATTTAGTGATAACTTTTTAATTATGTGTTTGGAGAGTGCGGTGGGGTGTTTTTGTATTTTTATTATTAATTGCAAAATGTTTTTGTTTTTTTCTTTCAGTTATTTTCTTTTCTTATTTCTATTACTGTTGGATGTTGTTTTGTTTTTATTGTCTGGAGGGACTACAGATGTAAATTAGCCTCAGGCTAAAAATGATGCAATGCATCAAATGTTTTTATGTTTATGTTTTAATTGCACACTGTCCTGACTAAATAAATAAATAAAAGAAGAGAACTTTTAGAAATTAACTTCATTTACCCTTTCAACTAAGATTTCATCTATACACTTGTAATGACAGACTTAAAAAAAAGTCCCTATTTTTATTGTAGACAGAAAGGAAAATATGGTTCTGAGGTGGGTTTCATTCACAGAACTGCAATCCTGGTACTGGAACAGTTGAGCCTTTCAGAAACACTCCTTTTTTAAAATACGCCTTTACAAATCCAAATAATGTTTTTGCCAGATCCTTGATGCTTTGATGCTTTCATGTCCACACCTGGCTGCAGAGGCTTAAAAGCAAAAATAACAGGACCCACTCCCCAGAACTACCTAACCTCATGTCACCAGATATTTGCTTCGCTTCCTGGTCCACCAAACTAACTTTGGTGCTCAACCCCTCCTGTTGATGAGTTAGTTGTGTTTTTAATGTCACTTTTTTACTTTAGAAAGCAGTTCTGTGGTTGTACACCTGTTGCCTTTGAAGATTTTAAGTGGTTTGTTAGTCAAACAATCAGTTTTTGCTGGTTCAGATGAATAGTTGCCCTCAATGGTCACAGTCATCTAAACGGGTTGAATTTTAACCAGCAGGGTAGTTTCAATTTTTTTATTTCTGTTCTTTGAATATGTTGAAGGAAAGAAGGAATACATACATTACATACATGCATTACATACATTACATACAGACAGACAGACAGACATTATATACATATATACCTACATTACATACATATATATCTACATTACATACATATATATCTACATTACATACATACATTACATACATACATTACATACATTACAGACAGACAGACATTACATACATATATATCTACATTACATACATACATATCTACATTACATACATATATATCTACATTACATACATACATATCTACATTACATACATATATATCTACATTACATACATACATTACATGCATTACATACCAACATACATTACACACATACATACATGCATGCATACATACATACAGACAGACAGACAGACAGACAGTACTACATATATACCTACATTACATACATACCTTACATACATTACATACCAACAGACATGCATTACATACCAACATACATTACACACATACATACATGCATGCATACATACATACAGACAGACAGACAGACAGACATTACTACATATATACCTACATTACATACATACCTTACATACATTACATACCAACATACATTACACACATACATACATACATACATACAT